GAATTTAATAAGAAGATATACGAATATAGATACGAAGAAGATAGAAGAATTTAATAAGATAGATAGATATACTGTACCTGCAGCAGCCGAAGTAGAAAAACTATAACAAGAGAGAGAAAGAGAGAGGATCGGTACCTTACGACATTCTAAATAACACTGAAAACTTTTAATTGTAGACGAAAAATTACATCGATTGGTGATAAAATTCTCCGAAATCTTTTAGCAACGATTACGTCCAACGATTAATTATTACAACTATGATAATATCAATCAGTTTCGACGATGTTACATAAAGATATTTAAGCGTCTTCATACTTACGTTCCGTACGATATTCAGAATATGCAGTGACCCTGTACTTACATTAATTAGAGGCACATGAATTCGTTCTTTTTTTTTTTTAAATGCTCGCATATGCTGGCTGTATCAATTCTAAAATAACCGTATACTTGTACATATATTAATGCTTGTCGATCTATAGTAACGATGAACATCGTACGCGATGTCTCTCTATCTATTTAACATCAAATAATTTCTAACATGTTACGTGTACTTACAACGATTAGCATCTCTAGTTTAAAATGCCTTCTTCCATTTGTGTCGATTAAAAATTGTTCAAAAATTCGATCGTTTAGGCACATGATAAGTTAGTTGATTCAACAGGTACTAATTTTAGTTCACGATTACCTACGCTACGCATTTTAAGGACAGTTTCTATTTATCTATCCCGTAATTTTAATAGCATTTAGAATGAACAAACAGTATCACAGTGACGACACGCATTTTAACTAGTACCATCTTATTCTCCGTAATAACGAACATTATAGTTCCATTACTATAAATATTGATTTCATAAACGTCTTCTATTTGATAAGACTATCTATTTGCAAGCGATTATCGAGGCACTTTGCGAGTTATTTAAAAACATATCACAGCAATAAACGAAATAGCTCTCGAAACGGAAAATCCTCCATCTAATAAATAAAATTCTATCGACTAGAAACGAATTGAAGTATCGAAATTCGACTGAACGCTCGATAGACGAGTAAACAATGACTTCCACGTAGAATTTGTCAGCTCGTTAACGAATCGAACGACTCTTAATGCTTTTTCATGTGATTCAACATGATGGTTCTCGTAACGAATCCTTTGCCGCAGAGCGTACACGTATAGGGTCGTTCACCCGTGTGATAGCGGCGATGCACGGTAAGCGTGGACGCCTGGGTGAACGATTTCCCGCACATGGCACAGAGATACGGCCTCTCCCCCGTGTGGATGCGCTGATGCACCACGTAATATTTACGATGCGTGAACCCCTTGCCGCACACGTCGCAGACGAGAGGTCTGGACCTGTGCACGGCCTTGTGCGTGGTCAGGGACTCGACGCTCGCGAATTGTTTCGAACAAGAATCGCACGGATACGAGACCACCGACTTGTTCGTCGTCGGGACCGCGACGCTGCTGGTGACCGGGTCACCGGGCGACGGCACAGTGTCCGTCATTATCCTGTCGTTGACCGTCAAGATCGGTTTGTGAGTTTTCGCGTGATGATTGTACAAGTTTCGAGTCTCGAACCGCATCAGACACCTGGGGCAGGAGTACGGTTTCTCCTGGCCGACCTCGTGCATCCTCCGGTGCCGTTCGAGGAGCGTGCGGTACCGGAAACTGGCCTGGCATCGGTCGCAGGCGAACGTCTTCTCGACGCTCGTCGGCATTGTCGGCATCGGCGGACAGGGCGCGGTAACCGGCGCGGAATGGGTCACCTCGTGCATCCTCAGGTGGCTCAGGGCGAAGAAACTCCGCGAGCAAACGGCGCACGAGTACCTCATCGGGTTATCTAAACCGTGCTCGAACTCCGGCAATACCGGGTGGCTGGTTCGCACGTGGTAATTCAGTTTTAGGGCGCTTCGGAACTCGAGGCCGCAGGTAGGACACGGATGGGATTCGGTGACGATTTGGACGTGATCCATAAACGATTGATCGGAGCAGATGTTTTGTAAATGGGACGGCACGGTTTGATACATCATCGATGGATTGGAGAACATGGAGTTGTTTTGAAGAAGGGTACAAGTTACGGACATGTTCGGGTCTCCTGATTCGGGCGATGGCGAGAGTATTTGACGTAGCATCCCTGATAATCCGCCGAACGTCTCGCTTCCGTCCCTGAAATCGACAAAACCCAGGACAATGCAGCGGCGAACGGCCACCACCGGTGCTACATCACAACAGGCATTGTCTTTTGATTCGTTCGATGCGTGACGATTTGCGATCTCTTTCTTGCGGCAGGCGGTGAAAAAAGATATATAGACAAGCGTAGAGAGAGAGAAAGAGAGAAGAAAGAGAAAAGATCACGTTGCAGTGATAGTAATTTGACGTAAGTACTTCTGGCACAAGTGATAGTATATCTATGTACATCGTGCAAAATGCTTGGCAATGTGGCTCTACGTTTTCGAGCTTGTACAGGGTGCGAACGTGCGTATCGAGCTTAGAGAGTTTTGTCGTCGTCGTTCACTTTCACGATCTTCTTGTTCCATTTTACACACAACAATCGTATTCGACGATCGTAAAGAATATACTTCAATCTTACTTCTTTACCTTTCGAGTTTATACAATATAGCTGTCTTATCCATTAACGATTGATACTTAGATAATTGTAGGATTCGCTATTATGATTTCTACGTGTAAAAAAGCTATTACATAAGAACGTTACGCTTATTTTCTTGTCGATTTATAAATTAGTAATGAATCTGATTAAAAGAAATGAAATGTTCGCGCTTATACGTATGTTAGGAACTGTCGATCACCTGTTCAAGTCTCTAGACTCATTAGAAAATGACTGGCACAAACCGAAGGAAAACAAATCAAAGGTATCTACAGCAAACCAGCAAAAGAAAAGTTAAGCCACAAAATTTGGCAGGAAAGTTAGTTTCAAAACAAACCCTTGCTAAATATCACTTTACTAAAATACAATATTTCAGAAAATCAAATTAATATTAAATAAAAAATGGACTCTCACCTTTCACATAGTATCCAACGTCCCTGAATAATCTTCTTATCTTCTTTCATTGAAATTAACATTTTATTAAATGAACACCGTCACCGAGCGAGGTTTAATCGCTCGAAAATGAAAATAATTAATGCTCAACAAGAATTTTGAACAGAAATAACGCAAGTCATAATCGCAATATAATTGCACAGTTCGTACATTGAGTCATCTGCATCAGCGATGCAGAGTAATGAAAACGTGTCGCTCGTAAAAAGACACAAAACACGTATGGCAAAAATGGTCTGTATTAACCGGCGCGTAAACGCGACCTGTAGCCATTAAATAAATGAAACACGTGTTTGTAAAAGCACGTTTCCTCACGTTTTGCGGTTCGCAAAAAAATTATAACAACGCAGGATTAAAACTGGCAGCGGATTTTCAACATACAAAATGTATACTGAATTCGCGCACTGTGTCAAAGAATTAAAATTCAATTCTTTGATCGAGTCACGTAAACACAATCAATTCTGATTCAATCATAAAAATACTTATGAACTATCAAATAAATGCCGTTTTACAATATAGAAAAGTGTGATACTCGCCTTGAGCAATATATCATGATGTCCTCTTCTTCGATTCTTCGTCTCTTGACAAATTAATATTCTAATTCGCTTTTATTTTATAAATGAAACCAGTTTCGTTTTCTTTTCTTTTTTATAGGGGAGCACACGTGCTGGCATCTAATAAGGAAGCCAGCCATAAATGGTATCGATCGAAACCGAACTCGTAGCGAACGAAGAATTTCTCAGTGGGTTCTCGATGAGGAAATAACAGAACGGTGGCACTTACAAACTAAACGCGGAAAATATCATCGACTATTTATATATGGTCCTGACGATAATGTAAAAGCGTAGGCATTGGAAAGCACGAAGACGACAAGAAACGGTACTTGGTATTTTTATCTCTTTTCTCGCAATACCTTTTCGTTTAACGAGTAATTTATCTGAGCTTGGTGGCACCTTTGTTACGCACCAAGCGTCTATTATATCGTGACGTTAGCTTACGAAATATTAGTCTGTGATTTTTGGTCGGCCTATTGTCGGCCGTGTGCGGCATTTTGTGCCTTCACGTAAGCGTGGGATATTGATACTGACAACATGTAAACATCTGGTTCTCAATTGAACAGAGGGATTAAACACCGTGAAACAACCGATTCGCTAACATATACAGATTAGAAAGACAGGCCACGACGACGTTAACACGCAATTAGTAGAATCCCTCTGTCCATTTATTGTACACGTATCAATAATAACTAGAATGGAGCTCATTTAAATAAGGTAACTCAAATAAAGATACGTGTGTATGTTTTCGAATATCATTAAAGCTGTTCTTATTGAAATGAACTCCAAGTACGTACATGCTACCACATGTATAAGAATATTCAGATATTTTGCAATTTGTGTTATTGCGATTTTTTTACTTTGGTAAATCTTCATTTAAATCAATATGAAAGTGTGTTCTAAGTACGTATTCTGTATAATCGAACTATGATTGCGCATGTAAATATAACAAAGTCTAAACTCGTTAAATGTCAAGGATACCAAATTGCAAAATAACAGAGAGCCAAAGACGGTTGTGGGGTGTGTGTCAACTTACCTCGATATCCCGTTGCACCTCATTCGATCGAATCAGGTGACTAACTCTCATTTTATTAAAGGGTATGATCGAGATCGTGAAAACATAACTACAACTTCAAAGTAACTATTAATAATTTTTCAATTACTAGAATTATATGGAATCGAATTAAAGAGCTTTAATTTATCGAAGAACCGTAACGTAAAATGAAGCGAAAGACGAAACTATTCGAAATATGAGTGACATCTCTGACAATACGCGTATAGTTTAACATATAGAAAACAGATAAGACTAAGACGTTTGCGTGTATGTTTGTGATCTCCACAACAAGAGAATTGCATCTTTGGCCCTTAGGACATAAAGTATAGATAAAAGACTCACTCAGATTTGGGATCCTCATCAGCTGACTGTGGCATGGGCATCTCAGGTATCTCCGAGATCTTCTGTTGCTGCAGCCCCGATGGACCAGCTTCGTCGCACACCAAGGGAACATTTACAAAGGTCGTAGGCTCTACGGTTCTATTACTGGGTTCGTCTTCGCTCTCTTCTTTAACGTTTAGGCCTGAAACAAAGAACGGAATCCACACGTTAATTATCTTACTTCGTACGAACATGGAAGTACCTTTTATAAAAGTTTTGACACGTACCATCGTCTCCATCACATTCCTCGTCAGAGTTTTCCTCATCTTCTGTCTCTTCTTCGTCCTCGTGCTGAGTGGAACTAGTCCGATTCTGTGGTATTTGGTTGTGTGTTGTTTGTGAACTTGGACCAGGTACTGCCTGAACGGTTTGCACAGAGCTACCGCTTGTGTCCATAGGAACTGAGGTGATTTGTTGCTGTTGATTAGCACTGGATATGATGATGGGAATACCCAGCCCCATGTTGTCCATCATACCCATGCTCATATTGTTTTGATGCTCTCCGACATGCTGAATCACGTTGCCATCTAACCTGTTCTCTGTGCTCTGTTCTTCTTTCATTGCACCCTGCGATCAAACAAAGAAACATTGAATACATTTTTCAAGATACTCCTCGCGTTAATAAATTCAGGCTGTCCATTATAATTTTAAATCATCATAACCATGTAATGCTCTGTCATATTGAAACGTAAAAATTCTTCATGCATACGTATAAAAATAAATCGTTTTAACAAGTCGATTAAATGAGAAACTTACAGTTACAAGAAATCAAATATCTTTAATTCAAGCAATAGCAGAGTTACTATGGTAAACATGGAACTGAACGTCAAAGAAATAAAGGAACGTCTGTGTATGCTAATTTTGTTACGCACTGAACACAGTGACAGTAAATAAAGAAATATGTTTACCGAGTTGAGAACGTCGGTAACATAACCCTGCTTGTCCTCCAGATTCACCTCTCCTAGCCATTGTAGAAGCTGCTTTTCTGCGTTTACCGTCGTATTCCAAAATTGATAAAATAACTCTACTTTATACACGCAGTCGTCACATATTTTTTTCGGTAACTTATCTTCTCTAGCAACCTGTAATCAGACGGAAGACGACCAACATTTAACAAAAGATGACTTATTGGAATTCATGTATATGTTCAATAAATTAAATAAATGATTTCAGAATGTTGTATTGCAACACGAAAATCACCTATTAACGAGTCGGCTTTAAAAAGTGAGAAGTTGCTTATAGGTGTTGGGTGGTTTATAATAGAAACAAATGAAAACAAGATGTCGAAGAAAGAGACCGATGGTTGCTGCAATAATCTTCAATACGAATAATCGCGTATCGGTATTCGCGAGCAGGGAAATGAGACCGAATATATTTGGGTAGATCCGCAATACATTAAGGCAGGGGAAGAAAGCGCGGCAAAATTTTATCGAATAATTAGTGGCGTCGTGGGTCGAGAAAGCGAGACCGAAAATACGAGAAAAATGGAGATAAATAGCTTGAGAGAGCCGCGGGACGGTTCGGGGGTCGATTACACGGGGACTATAATTTATTGTGCATAGGGCGTGCTTGGAACCGATTGTAAATTACCGCATCTACTGGGAGATCGAAAAGTCGTGGACGATGTCGAGGAAACGCGGTGTGGAGTTTCTATGAGAAGTGAACAAGATGGCGGATCGCCATTGTCGATGCAATGCGATGTCGTAGTTAGCTTACCTTGACCGGTAGACAGGAGGCGATCTTCAAGAATATTTGCCGTACGTCTCCCTCGCCATCGAAAATCGGCACCGAAACACGGTCCTTCACGAGACACAGCCGACACAGATCCAGATAATCGAGGGAGGACATTTTACCATGTAAAACGCCAGCTCGAGACGCAAAGCCGCGCCCGTAGACGCGAACGCTGTTTCAACCCAAGCCGGAGAAGACCCCGCGTCGCTTGTCGCTTGTTCACGGAGCCTCGGCCAACTTCGAACGCCTTCGGCTATCCTCGGCACTCATCGTACCGTCTCGGAAACATTCGACAGTACGATTCCATATCGATCACGAACCAACGGCTTTTACACACGACCACGACGCCGAGACCCGTTTCTTTCGGATTCATTGTCATTTATTATGAATGGACCACCAAATCATTACCCCACGAGATGAGTATCAATTTCTATTTCGTTCCCCAATCGAATCGATTCGATTCAAAGATGGCTGCATTCTCTGCCGATTTCCGTTTTTCAGTTTCAAATCACGAACGCCTACCGTATAATTCTGATTAAACGCGTTTCTGATATTTACTGATCGATCGAACCTTCAGGTGTCTAAGAGGTCGGCGGAGTTAATGCATAGTTATCAAAATTTCATGCACAATTACTCCTACTTCTACGCGTTGTCACAATCACGCATGATCAAAGGGTAAGCATGTTCGTCGATGAATAAGAATATAAAATCACGGCTTCGCGGAATAATATTTTGAATCCGTTTTTAATAATCAGTAAATATATTTCAAAATAAATTTCATTTGCACGAATAACGATAGTCGTGCGTCTTATAATTAATAAAAAAAAGGCTTCGATCGGAATTTACGAATGCCTTTTACTTTTTCTGTGTCGTATCATGTGTTTTTAATATAAAAATGTGTGTAACAAGCTCAATGGTAACAAGTAAGTACATTCTTTTTATTAATTTTAAATATCGTAGAGTGACCAACTTCATATTTCTCGTAAGTATTCAAATGTCAGTGATGAAACCGACTGCCGATATGTTTGTATGCTGTTCCTTTTTATATCTATTTATATATATGTTATATACTTTTCCAATGGGTTGGATAGGAAGTGGGAGGTGGGGGGTCACCACGAGAATATAAAAAGATGAACATCGGAATAAAATTGACGTTCGTAATACGTATCTATAATTTCAGCATATACGCAACATATAAGAATAGACTCGAATTACGTTGGGACATTTGTATTTGAAAAAAGAATATCGACGTTGTTAGATATTTTTTGTTCCGAAAGGGCATTAAGAAGGCGGCGATAAATTTCAGTACCTGACGTGCGATCGACAATTTTTTTATATGGACTGAACAAAAGAGATACGACAGACGCAAAAAATACGCGGTGGCAATGCTGCTACGTAACTTACCCCCGCGTTGTGCCATTGAAGGTATCAATGACCTTACCTTTCCCGTGCATCGTCGTACGTACATACTTACTACGTCGGTTGTACGTGACAGCTTGATTTAAACTGCAGCCGTGGCTGGTTTCAAAACTTTTTCTCATGTTCAATTCTTTTGCAAGAAAATTTCTTGAATCTCTAAGGAGTATAAAGAATATCGAAAATCATTTAGCTATTAAATATCGTACGCCAAGAGCAGGTCTCTACAGTTCTGGCTTACGTTGTAAAAAAATTTGAAAAAATTCCAATTAACGCTTGACGCGTTTGAGAAGTCAGGATAAGAAATTGTAGATTCGTGTTAGATAAAAAAAACTGCTTTATTGTGGCAGAGCACATGTATTATCATATACCAGCATATAATTAGGAAGTCCATAGTAATTTACAAATTACGATCCACTTAAACGTCGGTACGCGTGGCGGTGTATGCAGGCAGATTTTTGGAACCGATTTCGATCACACGCATGCCGTTACCGTGTTATCATATCGTTTTAATTTTTCATATATTTTCGACCCGTTCAGCTTTTGCGTATGCGTCCCGTTTGAATTTATCCTTTGATACTTTTTTGTTTAATTTTCATTTCGGATGAGGAAGGAAAGAAGGGGAGACACCTTCTAAAGATCCTTGCAACGGTGCGCATCATTTATAATACATGAAAACGAGGAGATATGTGGTCTTCCGTTTCGATTAGCGAGAAAAATTGTACCCGTACGAGCCATTTGGGATTCTCTGTTTCCATTGTCCCTCTCTCCCATTTTAATGAGGACTCTTGTTACGCATCTTACAAGTAATTGTGATTATCGCAAGTGACAGTAAATTACTCCCACGCACATGGTTTTTCCATTTTCGATGAACAGGTTCCCGAGTTTTGTCGTGGTTTGTTTCTCTGAATAAGAAAGAATATGAAAACCGAAGTGAGAAACCTTGCGCGTTCAGCGTGAGACAGTTTTCTCTCCGGAACGCGGTTCGATTTCAGAAAGCGTTCGTCGTTCCTACTATTAATTTATGTACACCTTAGAGAGTCTTCAGTTTTTGTTTATTTAAATACTTTGTGGATGCCATATGGTTTCCTTCCTCGAGTCGCCGACGCTCTCAATAAACCTTTCCATTCGGTCGATACAAAGTACGATGAGAGTTTTAAATAAAGGAATTGACTGTTAGTGACGATTCAACGATAGAAATTAATCTTACGGATAGATATAGAACATTTGTGAGAGAATGACGAAATCGAAGTTTCACAGGAGGGTTAAATTCTTAAAAGAAAATATACAACACGTTCGTCTTTTACTTGGTACAGTTTCTCTTGTTCGTCCGACTTCTCAATTGTATCGCTCGAACGTCTGTGTTGTCAATGAAACCGCGACGAAAACTTGTTACTTCGATGCTCGTATATTAGTTAATTAATTAGTTTGTTAATCAATTTGTTAAATTCGTAACTATCGTTTACTTACACTTTATGCTATAACAATAATAGCAAAATTGCGTGGAATGTGTCTAAATATTTTTTTCGTTTTTCTTCGTTATCTTTCCGAGTTCGTCGTAAACTGTAAATTTTTACAGCTATTACAAATATTATTGTTTACATTCATGTAAGGTAACATTAATGGTATTTCTCGTGTCTCGTTATCTATTAATACAAAGATAAAAATGCGGGAAGTTTGGAAATTTCGCGGCCGCGTGGCCGCAGGATATTACGTTCGTGTTTGTCATACGTACATGCGTGTCCGAGTTCGAATTCGTCGCTCGACACGGAACCGAAATTAACAGAACGTGTCGTCGACGACTGATAGTGCAAACTGACATCATAAAATGTGTATCACACTCGAAAATCATAATAATTCTGATTTTTCTGTGTCCACTGCGAATCCTGAATGCTAAATCCGACACGTTCTCTTAGCTCCAATTTCCGTCTTGAAATTTCGAAAGCCAATCAACGGTTTATCAAATTTTAACGCCAATCACGTATTCAACACGTCCAGATTGAACCGATCGAATGTGGGAAACAAGCGAAGCGAAGACTCTCGTCGCTTCCTCACTCTTTCGTTACACCCGTCGTCTGTTAATCGGCACGCTCTCTCCTCCTCCTCCTTTTAAATCGATTAAATATAACTATTAATTACCATCCCGTCTCTTAGTGAACATTTAATATCGTGATTAATTCGAGTTCCTTGAAATTCTCAATCGATGCAACGCTACGATTACGCTAAAGAGGTATTAATTAATTATAATTTACCTTCGAGAACTTTTGAGCCCTTCAGACACCACGCATACGCTCCTACTTTTCATCCCTCTCACATTTCGTCAGGTATCGGGAACGACTGATGCTTCCCTCTTAAACACTTCGCTCTCGTTCGGTTTTCTTATCCAGCGATTACTGGGACTTTTAAGCTAGCGTTGGTCGAAGATCGTTGAAAATTTTATTTAGCACAACTCACACCGTATCGACACAAGAGCTCGTTTGTATTTTTTTTTTTATAATTTTCTTTTTAACAAGCTAAAATGATCGAACGTCGTCGGGAAGAAGATGATAGGGAAACGCAATCTTCTACTATATCCGTGATCCGAAAGAAGCATAGTATTAGGTACGTCTGAACCGGGTGAATTCTCTATTCGTACACTTTGGTGATTAGCTATTATTCGAAAAGTCGTACTTCTTAAATAATCTGTTCTATGCAAAAACTTTGACGTTAGTAAAATTTTATCAGTTCGTGGTTGCCCCGTTTACATATCTAGAAACTATTTAATCACCGTTGAAAAAGTACTCTCGCATGTATATACTCGAGATCAGATACGAAAACGAAGATTTGTAAATATATAAACTTTTGGCAGAACGACAGTAGTATATTATATTTAAACGAGTGGTGTAATAAAAAAAGAAAGTCTTCGTGACGGATTTTTTCTTTTTTTTCTTTTTTAATTACTGGTGAATACTAACTGTTCTTATGGCCATTTGTACTGCGGTAATTGTTGAAAAATGTATATCGTACAATTGGAATCGAAGGGTTTGCAGCAAGACTTCAATAATTTCCGTGTCGCCGAAAGGAATCGTTCGATAAAGCAATCATACCGTTTCTTTATGTGTACACCATTTTGTTTGTTTTATTATAAAACATGAAAAAGAAGCGTGTCGTTCTTCTGCAAACTCTTCACGCGTTTCGAAGGCTTAAAAAGTGACAAAACAACGTTATCATTAATTACAGATTAATTTCTATAGACTATGATCTCTCGATGAAAGTTTCTTTTTCTGTTAATGGAAACTATCTATGTAACTCGTTATTTATCGATTTTGAAATACACTTGATCCTTAGTAATACGCTTTATCAAAGAAATACAAGGATTCGAACATGCATAAGAAAAACGATGGCACTTTAATATAATTCGTGACATTACTTTGAGCCTGCATCATATGAGAACGTTTTGAATTGATTTCTTCATTTTTTTTTTTTTATCATTTTCTTATCGTTTTTTTTCTTCGTTAATTATACCAGTTCACATTTTTTCCTAGTAAGCCACTCAAAATCGATCAGTTAATGTAAACAAGCTTTTTATACACGCCTGTTCTCCTCATCGAATATCTGTCTCTATTATCAGCGTTTCGTCATTATCTGATAACGTCGACTAAACCCGTGTTAATTTTTACAAATGTAAATGTCCTCGCGCCAGTCGGATTGGAACAGACAGATATGCAACATTACTTATTAATTTAGTGACCAACCATCGATATAAACGAATCTTCACTCTTCTCGATTTATCCTGCGTAAGCGTGTCTTCGCTTTTTTTTCTTTAACGATGATCAAATTACAAGGAAAATAAATGCCACTGGTAACTTTGTTAAGGACTCAGTGATCCTTGTACTATCTTCGCACGCTATTACGTTCATTCGAGAATAAAAAAAAAATGATCGTGAGAAATTTTATTCTCGCCGGGAAATAATTCTCATCTTCTTCTCTTTTAATATAATCAAATTAATGGTAAATGAGTGGGAAGTAATCGGACGATCAGGATAATCAGTATTCATCGTTTTTCAATGTCTTCCTAAAGTGTGTAATGGAAATTGTCATTCCAATCGATCGTTGTTTCTTCCTACTCTAATATGTTACAAGTTCGCAATTGGTTTCTGGCGCAGTTCGACGAAGACACGATTATCGATTCATTTCTCTGAAAAACATTTTTACGAATGAACATTGGATTCAGCGATGGAATGAAAAATTCGTTAAGCTTCGACCCATGCCGCAGACACTTTCCATTATGTGACTATATTATTTTTTAAATTCTATGCAGGATTCGATTGAACCGAAAATAACGAGATCTTGTTACAATAAATAAATTCGTGTAACGGTCGCCGGTTCCTTCGAAGGAAGCAGAAGTAAATTGGGTTTCAATCCTTTTATCTCGACATTGATGCATAGATCTCGTTCGTCTCGGACAGCGTTTCCACAAATTCCATCGAATTTTCTTTATATCGGTTCGTTTAAAAAGGAATTCATTCACGCGTTGAACCATAATTTCCGATTCTATTTTTCTGAAAATGTCACTTAACGAAAGCGACGCGACACGAAAATGAAACGAGGAAAAAAAAACAGACTAATGCTTTCGAAATGCCTGTTCCATTGTTTTCCTCTGGTTTGCCGTTTTTCGAGTGTTTGCACGAAACGAGGTTCATCGCTACTTACGCTACGCGTGTACGTGTGTTCGTGGTGTGTGCAATCCAGTGGTGTGTACGTCTTAAAAATACTCGAATACGTTCTACTTGTCGATAAAAGGCAAGAGAATTGTTCCGCTCGTGTTCGACTATAGTATGACGTATTATTATTAATTCCTTTTTTATCTATTTGGAAATATCTTTTTGTTTTACGATGCATTCGTGTCTCGATGGATTGACTTTTCGTAGGTAAAACTGGAACCAATAAAAGATCAAGGGACGATAGTTTTTTTTTTAATATCTCGTTATCTACGGCTTCTTGGATTGGTTATCTTCGTTTAGATAGTATATATA